GACAGAGGTTTAGTGAAGAACAGTACTTCACGGCGTGCGGGTCAAGGACGAAGTCAAAGGAGTACTTGTTATGAAAAATCTGATTCGGCTTAATGAGAATTTTCGTAACATTAAGAACAATTCATATTTTCTATTGCTTTGAAATAATAGTTACGTCTTCTGTCATGGATAAGAAACATCATTCTTCGTGTCTTTTATCACTTTTTAATTCTAAACGCCTTCTCTCTCAGAATCAATTTTTAATAAATGAGCCTTTTATGGACCGATCTCGAAGAACATGAAAACTTGGTAATTTGGTTAGAATGAAGCCTATACAAAAACAATTCGAAGAATGATCACATAATTTTTGTGCAACAAAGTTTAGCCGAATTGCTGGAAAACAACCAATACTTATTGACAAGAGGTTAGTAGTTAAATACTTTCTATCAACTTTAGGCTTAGCTACTTAAACCTTTCGTTACACTATGTGACATAGCCAATGAACATAAATTATAATATATGGAGGCTTCAGCTTAAAACAAACTCGGTAGAAATTTATTAAGAGATTCCCTCAGACACGTAACTTTGATTCAGTCATAAGACATCAGTATTAGCATAGTTATTACCATCATAGGGAATTCTTTATTTCAAAGAGAACGATCATATACCAAAACAAAAACTTTCAAAGAGTTCTCTCAGCAAATCACTTAAAAAATAAAAATTTATCAGACATACATTAGCATGGTATTGATTTTAAATCATCATAGGGAACAAGATTTAAAGCCTACATATAATAAAATTCATATTTAGCTAATAATATCAAGTGGAAGCCCCCTTGGCCCATTGGTTGACTAAGGGTTAATTAATGCTTCTACACCAAGAGGTCTGGGGTTCGAGTCCCAGATACTGCGATTTATTAACAAATTTGCAGATTAATGGAGGCAAGTATGCAAGAGATCTCCAGCGATGTACAATTATAGCCGTTCGCCAGGATTCTACGCAGAGAGGGAAGTATCGTCAGGTCGTGGTCATTGAAGGTGTCTATCAAGCATGAAGAAGGAAGTGTCGTAGGCGTGGATCTAATAAGGGTCGGAAAGAATTGTCCGTTGTAGAATCGTCTATGTAACAAGTTCTCATAATTTGTAATAAATAATAAATCTAGACGGCAAAAAAAAAAAGCTAATAATATCAAAACAAGAATGTAAATTTAGGGCTTTATGGCTCAGATATGTTATAGAAATCAGTTATTTTCCTTGGCCACAAAAGGCCTCATAATGAGCTGGGATAATATGTTATCATCATAGCCAAATCAAACCCTACTTAAAAAATTGGAAAACTCAGTTGAGTAAACCAAATTAAACTATATGTTACAAATATTGAAAAAACAGAGCACGCAATAACAAATTTGGTTTAAGAACAATGTACAGAAACCAAACCAAACCAATCTAACAAAGACTTTAATAATCAAGAAATTAGAATTTACAAGGCTCTTATATATGTATGAACATAATTATAGTCCTTGACCACAAAAGGTCTCATAGAGCTGGGATTATGTTTTATCATCATCACCTTAAGAACCCTAATTCTAGAATAGTATAATTCGCAAACCAGAAGAAGAACAAAGCATAAATATCAGAAACAGAGATCTGAGATTCCAAATCAAGAAAGACAGACTAAATCGATCAACGGGAGAAACGAATTTAATACCTAAACGAATCTTAAAGCTGGTCTTGCAAAGATTATCTCCATAGTTACATCAGACTCTTTAAATAACTACAATCTACTGGAGTATTAACACATTTGATCATAGTTTATTTTAACAACATTACACGTTCTTACTTCGATGCAAATGTAGAGTTATATGAATTCAAGCCAGATTTGAACGAAAACCTTGATGATAAGATCCTGATACTCCTTGCCTTGGGATTCAAGGTAACATGCTAGAAGATCCTCCAAGGCTTTTAGAGGCTCTGATGTTGTTCTCTACTATCATTTCCACCATTGACTCTGAAATCCTTCTTCGGATCAACACAACTCTTGATTACTGCAAAAACTGTCAAGAACTTTTTTGCTCTACAACTTTGAGAATGAGCTCTAGAATAGTAGTTTCAATAATACACTTTTTCTAACCATTCATACCAAAAAAAAAACAAAAAAAACCTTGTTTGCTCTGCGATCTCGATTTGCTTCTACGATGTGAGACTTGAATTCTAGGAGAGCTCTGCACTGACATGTTTCCAAGCGACAATGACGGTTAAAGATTATTGAAATGGCTTTTATAATATATGTTAAGACAGAGCATTGTATACAGTATCTTTCTCTGTGTTCTGTTTTTCTTTTGTAAGTTCTGGAACTTGATTTTACTACAAGTAATAACGGAAAAATTACTTCACACACACCAACTACAATGTCTTGTTCCATGTTTATTTCTCCAAACTTTTATTTCAAAGCATACATAATATAAAGTCGTCGAAGCTGACTCAGAAAGGTGGGGGTTTGTCGCTGAAGAACCGTGCGAAAACCTTATCTTCAAGAATGGCTAAGGCATGGATAGATCTCATGCATATGGGGGTTTTGTATTGAACTAAAGAAGAACCTTCAGAGATGAAAAAGTTCATAAGAGAATCAAATGTTCCTGGTTGCACCACTCTTATCTCTAGAGCTCCAATTAAACCATCCTTGCTCCGAAATTTCCTGTAAAGAAAGTCGAATGTTTCTTCCACTGTACAGCAACACTCCGTCAATAGCTTTTCATCGAGCTCAAGGATAGTACTTTTCTTTTTTGCTTTGAGTTCCCAGTAAAGAACATAATGGCCTGGAACAGTAGAGATATCTGCATACCATGTAAAATCTGTCAACGTCAAATCCGAAGATTCAAGAACCATCTTTCCATTTGCCACTGCCTTTAAAAGCTCTTCCTCGGTAGTTGTCTCCACGTCAATGCTTAAAGCCACATCGTTTCTACGTATGAATCTAAATTGTGGTGCATTGTTGTAGAATCCAGTCACTAGTAGAACATCTCCCATTCGATATCTGTATAAACCTAGCAAGCAAAAAAGAATAAAAATTAATTGAAAATTTTAGATTATAATTACTAATTTTCATAGACTAGATTGATACATAACTCACCAGTAAAACTTGTGACCAAGGCCTCATAGTAGCACCCTAACTTCACGTCCACAAGATCAACAATTTCAACCTTGTTTACTTCATCAACAAGTAAGAACTCGAAGTATGCCATGTTGGGCATAAATGTGTAAGACACATCTTGTAGTTTGCATAAAGGATTCAAATTTATCCCGAGTGCGGTTTCGGAAGAAAGATAATTCATGCATATGATAGGCAACTTGTTGGAGTAGAACTCCAATGTTGAAATGTATTGAGACATCTGACCTGTAACAATACATTCAATAAATTTGGTTTTTCGCCAAAGTCTTGTAATTATACCTTCCCATGAAATTTGGTTGCATTCTTTTTCTATCAAGTTTGCTAATTCAGGATTAGGTCCTCCAAGGATCTCAGACACGCAGTTCCTACAACTAATGTCTTCAATCCACTCGCTCACTTGACCCAATCTGATGTTACTACACAATTCCTTCCAATACTCTTTAAGAAAATCGATAGCTCGAACCAAGGCAGAAGCAAAAGCAGCACTCACACTCACAACATCTTTTCTCTGGACAAGTCCACTTAGAAGATGACAATACATGCTCTGCTTACTGTCTCCACAAAAAGTGATTTCGTTGGGACTTGTGTGATGTTTTGATGCTAGGTTCCTAAAGTAATCGCTCTTTAAGACGTTTGTACTCACAGGAACAGCTGGCAGACCCGAAGGAGTTGTAGATTCCGGTTTAATGAAATCAAACCTCAACACCTTTCCATGCTCAGCACCATTGATATGCCTATAAACCGAAAAAGGCATGTTTGTGATGCAAGTTACACGACAATGACACTAATACAAAACACTAAACTACAAGTTCCCAATAGACTACATGTCCTAAAAAGAAAAGTGAATGTTTAATTATTGTACCTGCATATAACGAAAGAGTGTAGATTACTTATGAATATGATGTTCTCTAAGTACTTCATGTTGAAAGGCAATAACTTCCGTTTCCCTCCTGAAGTTCCAGAACTACACCGATAAGTCAACAACCATTAGAACATCAATAAACTAGTTGATCCATTAATCATATGATAAAACAGATTTCAAGAACTAGAGAAAATAAAAGAAAAACCAAAATAACTTATACCTAAAGGTGAATCTAGTAATGGGATAGGCTGATATGACATCTGAAGGCTCTCCATTCGCGACACGCTCGATATAAGGCTCAACATCCTTATATGTTACAATTGGTACATTTTTCTTGAAAAGCTCTTTATCAGACCTCCCATGGAGGAATCTCTGGAGGTATTCAGTGTTTGCGTTATGTGCAAGTATCTCTTCTAATAAATCGTCTTGTACTTGCTTCACATTCAATGTTAAATCCTCCAAAACATTCTTCATCTCGTCCAAACTTTTGAGATCGGAACTTAGACTCATATTTGGTTTTCTTTAAGTAGCCTGGAATCAATAATTGCGGATTTGGTTTCTTCGTGCAGCAAGAAAACTATATAATTGAGCACTACAGCTGGGTAGGTGACAAAATGTCTTCATTTTTTTTTGTCTCAATATACATGTGGTGGGTGGGATTAGTGATACAGTAATCAAAACAATTTTTTTTTTTTTCGTCAATATGATTTCATATATAGGATTCAAGATGAAATACATGAGCCGGCAAGTACAAGACACTTCCGGAGACATAAGCTGGCGAGTACAAGAACACTCCCGGAGACAAAGACCAAACAAGGTTCCCTCTTCTAAGAATAATCCCATTTAGTTCAATTAAAAAACTTAGAAAGAAAATTCTTAAGAGATTCCCTCAGACACATAACTTTGATTCAGTCATAAGACATCAGTATTAGCATGGTTATTACCATCATAGGGAATCCTTTAACTTCAACAAGATCACTTAAAAAACAAATGCTCCCTCAGCAAATCACTTAAAAATCAAATAAAAAAATTATCAGATATACATTAGCATGGTATTGATTTTAAATCATCACAGGGAACAACATATAAAATCTACCTACAATAAAATACATATTTAACTAACAATACCAAAACAATAATGTGAATTTAGAGTTTTATGGCTCAGATATGTTATAGAAAACAGTTATTTTCCTTGGCCACAAAAGGCCTCATAATGAGCTGGGATAATATGTTATCATCATCGCCACATTAACCCTAAATAAAAACAGAACAAAGTTTTTTTTTTAGAACAAAGTTAAACTATAGGTTACAAATAATGAAAAACAGAGCACACAATAACAAATTTAGTTTAAGAACAATGTACAAAAACCAAACCAAACCAATCTAACAAAGACTTTAATAATCAAGAAAATATAATTGACAAGGCTCAGATATATGTATGAACATAATTATAGTCCTTGACCACAAAAGGTCTCATAGAGCTGGGATTATGTTTTATCATCATCACCTTAAGAACCCTAATTCTAGAATAGTATAACTCGCAAACCAGAAGAAGAACAGAGCATAAACATTAGAAACAGAGAGAGATCTGAAATTCCAAATCGAAAAAGACAAACTAAATCTATCAACAGGAGAAACGAATTTGATATCTAAGGCTACAATTTTGATGAAGTAAAGTGATCAAAACCTGTGTGTGAGACGATGATGGAGAATTCTGACAATAATCGAGAAGTGAATTTATAGAGACGGCAGGAGAAACACTAGGGTTTCATATTACCAGCCCTAGTTAACCTAAACCATTTTTTATTTTGGGCTTTAAACAGTTGGGCCTTCTTTGGATATATCTGGCCCATACAAATTACCAGCTTGTCTTTGTAACGTCGCGTTAATCAACTAGAGTAGTCCTGGACCAAAAAACCGAACCGAATGTACCGAACCGAAACCGAAGCAAAAAAACCAAACCGAACCGAACCGAAAATTTGAAAATAACCGAATGGATACTAAATTCTATAACCGAAATAATCGTAACCGAATCGGTACCGAACCGAAATATTTCGGATAACCGAAATACCCGAAATACAATTATATTTTCAAAATAATTAGTTATTTATAGACCAAATAATCAAAAATACTTAAAAATATATAAAAATAGTAAAAATACTCGAAAATAACCGAAATATATCTAAAAATATCCGAAAATACTCAAAAATAATCGAAATATCCGAAAATATCCTAAGCAAAATAACCGAATGGATACTAAATTTTAAAACCGAAAGAACCGGAACCGAACCGAAACCGAACCAAAATTTCAAAATATCCGAATGGATACTAAATTTTGAAACCGAAAGAACCGAAACCGAATGGACCAAACCGATAACCGAACGGTTAACTGAAATCCCAGGCCTAAACTAGAGGATAAAATCTTGCACTGTTGCACATATATTTTTATTTAACAACAACGACTCATACAAAGGGTCTAAATGGTAACCGAGGAATCCGGCTGAATCTGGCTGAATTGCTGAATCTAGCTGAATTTATTTGTGATTTCTTGTGGAATCTGGCTGAATAATTTAAAGTTCAAATGGTAACTGCTGAATCTGGCTGAATTTTTTGAAAATTTAATTAATCAAATAAACTTCTAAAAATTTTAATTTGAAAAAAAAAAATTCAACAAAATTAGTTAAAAACGAAATATTATGAAAAACTTGTAACTTGTAAAAATAAAGTTGAATTTTGAAGAAATTTAAAATTACTATATTAGAAATATAATCAAGTTAGCTAAACACGAATCTGATTTATGTTTTTAAATTAATTAAATTCTCTAAAATTTCGAAAAGTTTTTAAGATTACAAAAATTATTGAAAGTTTTAAGCTGATATATGTAAAGTGTTATCAAACATAATTATTATATATTTTGGTGATTATGGTGAAATCAAAAGTTAATATATTTGATAATTTAATCAAACAGTATCATTTAAAACCATAAAATCTTATAATTAATTTTCATTTTTGATAAATAAAAATGAAATTTTAATATTTGTCTAATTTAGAATTTTTTTTACGAACAACTTTTTTTTTTGTCAATTTTACGAACAACTTGTACTATTGAATTTCAATATTTATAGTTTCAAGAATAATTTAATTTTTAATTAAAAAAAAAAAGCCTAACAAAAAAAATTCCTCAAGAATTCCACCAATTTCTCAAGAATTCCTCAAGAATTCCTCTAGAATTCCACCAATTTCATCAATATTTATGCTTTTAATTTTTTAAGAAAATTTAACTAATTTTTATATAATTATCAAGCAAACTTTATGAAAATTTTGATTTTAAATATTAAAATATTTATATTTATTAAAAACATAATAATAATAAAATCATTACAAATTTTAAAATATTATGTGACCAATTGATGTGACCATAATTCCACAAGTTTTCCTCAAGTTTATGGTTTTGTAAATGATGTAACAAAAAAAAAATCCACAAGAATTCCTCAAACTTCATGTCACCATTTAGACCCAAAGTGTTTAGCTCATTTAGACCATCTCCAACAATAAAAAAAAAATGATTATTTTATTATGTAATTAAATTTTAATTTTAGAAAAGGAAGTGAACTAATGTATGAGAAACATGTGGCTTAGGGGCTTTTAATAAGTAGTAAGAGCTCCTCTTCATTCACTTAGGACATGCAACGCCAAAACAGTTGGTGTGATCTTAGTAACTTAAAATTAAGAAATAATGGGAATAGTGCGTTTAGTTCTTGGGTTTAGTTCTCGCTCAAGACCTGTTCCTACCCTGTTCCTGGCCCTGTTCTTGGGTTTGGGACTTATTTTATTTATTTTTATTCTAAGCACACCATTAAGATGATCTTCCTATAATTATGGTCTTATATAAGTCATTCTTCATTATTTTTCTTCTTTTTTCAACATTTTTACTTTTTTATTATTATGTTTAAGAGTTCCACTCATCTTAGAATCTCCCATTGAGGATAGTCTTAGACGTCATATCTGAAAGCATTTCTAAACAAGGTAGATTCTTGCTCAATATGAGATATATAAAACTGAAAATGCAATAGCTCATAGAGATAGAGGACCTTTATTGAAATGCGAACTAAAGGAAAGGGAAAGACTTTAGGTTGTTTTCAAGAACAAAATAGATTTGGATTTGATTTCATAAAATGGGAAAGAGGAAAGTTGCTCAATGTGACAACTCTCTCGGTTATAGACAATGATGTTCATTACACACTTTATATAGTAGAATATTCTACTAAAGAACCCTAATTATATGGGCTAGTCATGGCTTGTTTGTCTCATAGGTTGGGCTTGTTGACACTTAAATGGCTTGAGTTTAGGATCCTCTAATAATATCGAATTGATTTGAAAGCCATGTCTTTGAAAGATGAGGTTTCGACGGATAAAACAAATGAAGCACTACAAAAAATGCGGCATTTACGTCAGTAATTAATGACTTTAACATCAGTTATTAATGACTTTAACGTCAGTTATTAATTGACTTAAAAAACAAGTTGACGTTGGTTTAATAACCGTCGTAACATCATTGACGTTAATTATATTAGCTTCACTTTACAAAGTGACGTTTCTTTTACGTCGAAAACATGCGTCGGTTTTACTAAATCTAACAACGGTTTAATAACCGACTCAAAAGTCAAATCTCATTTGTTTATGTCACTTATAAAACCGACGTAACTATTGTTCATTTATAATTATTTTTTCTTCAATTAATATAATATGTATATATATATACACATATGTAGTTAGTCTATATAGATGACCTTAGTGAATACAAATTTCAAAAGATAACACATAATAATTCTTTGACCAAAAAAGATACACATAAAATTCAATTAATAAAATATATTCATTTTACACGGAATATAAATGTCACCATAACTATGTCCCAGAATATAAGTAGAATAGAAATTGTCTGGTATACATATAGAAATGTTACTGCACACCAATTCTTGAAAGAGAAATAAGCATATCTGACCTGAAATAAAAACAAAGTAGCCATAATCAGTAACCAGAAAAAAGAAATAACAGCAGAGTCTCAGTTTAACATGATCTCCAATAGTATCATTTCAATGACTATGTTTTCTTTTTGGCAGCAATCTCACGAAGTACAATTTATTAAAGCAAATTACTATGTTTTCTCAAGACTGTGATAACACCAAACTTTTGGATTCTATGTCTAACTATGACATTAATTTCTCCTAAATCAATATGAAGTTCTGAACTATACAATGATAAACATACCAGTTTCAAATGAAATCCAAATCAAATGACTCTGGTTCAGTTCAAATTCCAGTCTTTGAAATGTTACTTTCCTGAAATTGTAGATAAATTGTAGATAAAGCTACTTTAAGTGTTATCCTGAAGATACATATAATTTTATTACCTGGTCACTGCTAACACTAGATGATTGATGAAGATTGGTGTTAAACGGTGTTGTTCCATGTCCGGCACATCGAACTCGTCCTGGATGCTCAGGACCAAACACTTGCTCAAATACATCATTTGGTCTAGACTCATTACTTGGTGCTTCATTTTGTATATTCTGACTCATTACTCGTGAAAGCTTATCCTGTAAAATAAGTTTAGGCAGAGAATTTACCACAAAAATTCTTGATGTGTTGCACACTAAAACATACCATAGAGACATCAAATGTAAAAAAAGAGACAGAGAATCACTATCATATTTTAAAAAGAGACAGAGAACGTGTTCTAAAAAGAGACTAAGACTTACCACCGATACTTACTTCGTTGCACACTAAACTTCCATCTGACTTAGTTCGTGATGCAATAAAAAGTTCAGCTCGATTTGGTTCTATGCCCGACACCTCTTCCTAAAAATTATGGTTGCAAAGAATTCATAAGAATAAACAGAACCGTAAGACTATATAATGCAATGTAAATCTGATATAAGTTTGTGAGACTAAACTTACCATCTCATTAGACTTTCTGGCTAAACTCTTTTTTCCAAGTGCATGTGGTATCTTAAGTTTGCTTCGACTTTTAATAAGTTTTACCTTAGCCTTATCACTGAATTGCATTTCCACAAACTC